AAACACAGCTCTTTTTGGTGAGGCATCCTAATGTACTTATGGTTTTATTTGCGCTTCCTTTAATTTTTATTCATAATAGCTCGCCTATAAAGCCTTGGAACCACAAATTCTTAAATTTTTTAATTTTCTGCAGTTGAAAGAGCGCCTGCTTCGATCATATTTGCCTTGTTATAGTTCCATATGTCCTTTAGATACTTTGAAAGGTTCTAATAACTGTACTATACACAAACTATATGCAATTTTTAAATCACTAACTTGTATAGCTTAATGAAAAAAACGCCAAAGAAAACAAAGTATCAAAACAAGTATTCAAGAATCGATTATTCTTCAAAACAAGATTAAAATGAAATTACTTCGATGCTTACAAATCCAGACATAAGCTCAGAAAAAAAAAAATGTGCCTGTTCAGCTGAATCGGAGTGTACATACATATTCACTTAAATAGCATTGACTTTCATTCATAAAAATGAAGCTGCAGCATTAATCAACACAAAATTAAATTTGTAAATAAGTAAATAATTCGACTACATACAAATGCATTACCGTTTAACCGCTAAGAAAGTGTCAAATTCCAAGAACGTCAAATCAATTTATTGTTGTTGACGGCCAAAGTAAACAACACACACAGCTCACAATAATGAAAAAGTCAAATGACACTAAAAAAATGTCCGAGAACAGAGCAGAAAAATGCGCAAAGCTAAATTTTTATATAAATAAATAAATATACATATAAATACATATGTACATTAGGGCGGGTCAATTTGTAGCATTTTTCTTTAGAGTCGTACACAAGTGCTTAAATTTTGTATAAAAACATGCTACTGTTTTTCCTAAAACATCCGCCACAGGGTATAATAGTCAAAATTTTCACATTTTCTGTTTTAAAAACTTGTATTTGATTTTAAAAATAATAAACTTTTTTACACAGCTTCTTTTAAATTCAAATTAATTACAGCCACTCATAAAATTGAGTTTCTGATGTTATTTTTTCAAAATAATTTTCATGTTAAAAATTGTTTTTTATTTTTTTTTTATTTTTTATTAAAATACGGCTTCTATTTTAACAAACATCATTTAAATTTAACTTCCAAACTTTGTACGAAAATTATTACTTATTTTTATTATTTTTTATTTATTTATTATTTTGTTTTAAATTTTAGTTGCATGAAGAAAATTTCAATGAAAAGTAAAATATACGATTTTTTCTATTTAATATGTAAGAAAATTTTAAAATTTTCACTGTTGCACTGCACCGTCTGGCGGAAGTTTTAAGAAAATGATATGTTCAGAAATGGATTCATCATACCTAAACACCCCTTATAGCTTGTTTTTATACAAAATTTGAACACTTCTCTGCGACACTACAGCAAAATGCTAAGGTAAAGATACCTATTTTCGCCATTTGGCAAACTCCAAATTGATTTTAGACCCATAGTTTTTTCGACAAATTTGCTTAGAATTACACGTAGAATCCTGCTATGCTATAGGCGCATAGACGAAAAAAATTTCGCATATAAATTGACCCGCCCTAATGCACATATTTAGAGATTTATTTATTTATATAAAAAATTTGCTTTGTGCATTTAACCACCCTAATGTAGAGTAAACGAATTCAATAAAAACCAACTGTGATAAAAAAGTCGATGGAAAATAACAGCCAGGCAATTTTTGTAGAATCTTATGAATGAACGAAAGCGGATGTAAGCCAATTGTTTATAAATATTAGCGGCAGTTATGCACAATTCTACAAACATAATATTCGTATTTTTGCTGTGCCCACTTTGTATTTGAACAATAAAAATATGAAAATCAACAGTTAATTGAATGAATGGAATTTTAAAGTGTTGATGACAGAGATGACAAACTCATAAAAACAAGCCAGCAAGTGGCCAAAGATCCGTCGATCATAGAACCCAAAAAAAATCTGAGGCAGAGAAGAGAAAGAGCCACACTAATCTCTGTACAATGCGCTTAAGCTAACAGACGAAAGAAATTTCATTCACAAATATTCGATGGAGAGCGAGAGCGAAACTCAAAATTACCCCTCAAATAAGTGTAGAAAATGTTGTACTCGCACTCATTACTAGTTTGCAAAATCGGAGCACAAGCATTAAACAAATTCGCTCATTCATATATATTCACTAAAGTCTGTGAGAAACTATAGGGGCAAACATTTACGCTCCTAGAGAAAATTTACTTAGTTCTCTACTAAATATTTGCATTCATATAAGCAGGCAATTGCATGGCCGAAAAATCAAAGCCGACCAATCAAAATGCATTTACCAGTAAGAGCCAGAAGAGTGCTGCATTAGCTGCAGGAGAGGGAGAGAAAAAAAACGTTTAGGGAGTTTAATGTGAGCATTTAGAGAGGTATGCACATGGACTTGGAGAATTTAATGAGACAGATGTTAAGCTGGGGCAAGTTTAGTTGAGATATGAGCGGCTTTTTACATGTTACTGTTAAATGCAATTTGTAGACTAAGGTACACTTAGCAGAAGTGTTTAAAACTAACTCGCATTTTGGGAGACTTTTAATAGCAAGCTATTTTATAGTGGAATTAGTGTGGGGGAAATATGTTGCAGCTGACATAAAATTTAGTGTGATGCATTTAAAGGAGGGGTAAAATGTTAACATTTACATTAATGTTATCACAATTCAGGCGGACATTAGCAGATACTGGCTTATGTAAACCTAATTTAAAATAATAAGGCTTCAATTTTAAGCCACAGCGTCAGGCTGTGGAGACTTAAGCAGACTGTAAGGATTTTAACTTATATTTTGAACGAGAAATGTAGAAATGTTAACACGTAAAGGGTTGAATTTCTAAATATGGTTGCAATTAGTGAGGAGAACAGATGCATTCTCTGGTAAACGAGGTTAAACAGTTACAATTTAGCGGCCGGGACCAGTTTGGGGCGAGTTCTTTAGCGGCATAATGTTATATTGTGAAGGATTTAGCATTGCAAATGATGGCGTTCTGGTGTTTGGCATACTAACAATTAATTGAATCAACTTCTGACCGGTATCAGAATGTATTGTTACAAAGTATTCTCGAACGATTATACATCAGTTTTCAAAAGCAATGGAACACTTAAATCTCCGGAAGATGGCCCAAATTGTTCACCCAATTTTCTAGGATATACATATGTATTTTGACGTAGGTATAATGTGTGCAGCTCTTCCTCTGTGGTTTTCCACTCCATGATATCTTGGTTAATAGTGTCAGTATAATGCTCACTGATCCGCTACCTTGCTTGCCACGTGATTTATTCATCGATTAAAAGTAATTAAAATATGTACAATTAAGCGAAGGTTTTAAGAAGGCATACCCTTCTTTTATTCGTTTCTCTGTTTCCCCACTCTGCAGGCACATTTGTGCATGCACATACAAACATATGTAGGCGAGTTAACATAGTGAGGGGTCGCTAACAGCAGGCCTTCCAAAATGTCCTAATGTTAATAACTGTGAATGTTAACAAACCTGCCTGCAACCCGTTACGCGCCCTGACACTGAGCTCATATTTTGAAGCAAAGGATGTTAGGGGAGAAAGAATGTTAAATGAAAATATGCAGTTTACAAAAAAAGTCTCCATGCAGTGGTAAAAGTGTTGCTTGGGAGAATTTACTGTCGCAAAAGTAGGAGAATGTGCATAGTTACTTAAAAGCTATGTTGACGTTGTGTAAAGTCATATTTACCTTAGCAGAGTATCGATCCGGTTTTAAGGAAACGAACTAACTAGCAGCGGAAAGAAGGAATACATATTGTTAAAAAATATAAACAAAATAAAATAAAATTATAAGAAGTCTTCATCTTAAGTGATAAAGGGATATATTGCTTAAATTTATCAGCTTATCCGCATTCTTTCATGAACGCACCTTGGTAAATAATTGCACAAAATGGTTTATTATTTACTTTTCTGGCTAGTTATGTTTCATTCTTACCTCGTCCACTGTGCTAATTTGCTTTTTATGTTTTCATAGCAAAATCGACCACCTGGCAATCTGTCAGGGTTGAATTTACTGAAATTTATATGTTTATCCACTTAAATCGCTTGATAAAGTGATAAACTTTGGTTAAATAGATTTCCATACAAATAAAATAAAATAAAATACAATAAAATAAAATAGAATAAAATAAAATACCATAAAATAAAATACAGTTAAGAAAACTAAAATAAAATATAATATAATATAGTAAAGTAAAAAATAATAAAAAATACATAAAATTAAGTAAAATAAAAAATAACAATAAAAAATATAACTATATAAAATACATAAAACAAAAAATAATAATTAAAAGAAGATAAGATAACACAAAGTGTAAATACTTATTAAAAATATTAAAATTATATAAATGAAGCTGAACATTTTTCGTTTCTTTTCTGTTATACCTGCGTCATCAAATGTGTTCAAAAATGAAGAAATAAGGAATTGCACAACAAAGCTTAATAGAGGTGATTGAAGAATGGAGAGTTGAACAAAATGCAAACTGTTTCTTAAAGAAGTTCTGCGCAAAAATACTGTGGGCAGCGTAGCCGAAGTTGGAGTGATAAGAAAACTTGATTTATTATTATTTTTATTTTTTTGTGTAGGAGGGGGGTATAATCGATAATACTACAGTTTGTTGAATCACTGTTAACTATGCATTAGCGCATAATTTTCCCCTCTTTTCATAACAATGTCTACACTCGCTCAGAGGCGCATATGTACATATATATGTATGTATGTACAATAATACATACTGCGTTTATAGTTTCTACAAAATCGTTTATTAAATATGCATAGCCCTTTAACAGCCGCGCACTGATACACAGCATTTTGACCAACCCGCAGCTGGTCTCCAATGGCCCTCGTTTACTCACACGCTGCTGAAAATTCTCTCCACAACATACAGTAGGCAGAGCACCATTAAATGCACGCGAGAACTGTGAGCATTTGGCCTGAATTAATGCTCAACCGCTAAAGGCGGAGTTAACCACTGACCGGGTATAAATAGCCGCACTCAGAGCGCGAACAGCACAAATCGAGTGTGTTACTCAAAGCGTGTGGTAGCAATTTGAAAGCGGAAAGTAGCTAACTCAAAATAAGTTGAAATTCAAAAAAAAAAAACAAAAGTCAAGTAAAAAAAATACTTTGGCTAAGCAGAGGTAATAAATCTCAGCGCCACTTAGAGAAAACCGAACAAAAAAAAAACTTGAAGTTCGAGTGTGTGTGTGCCAATTAAACGCGCCACGCCGAGTCATACGGATTACGGGCGACAAAACGTATGCGATACAACAATTGGATTATATACACAAAAACAAAATACAATAACAATAAAGTGAATTTGCAGTGATTGAAAAAAGCTGATAACAAAAACTGTGCAAAATTTCTGCAAAAAGCAAACAACAGAAATATTAAGCAATAAACAAAGCAAGGTGAACAATTGTGTATTTCAAAACACAAAAACGAGATAAATATAAAATTTTAACAAAAAAAACAACAACACATAATTAACAAACATATGTGTGCACTCCTTGTGGATATTTAAAGCACACAAAAGACGCAATTTTCATAAATACAAAAAAAAACAAAAACAAATTCCTACCACTAAGGAATTTTCGATTTTTCTTCACTCATCTCAACCTCGCACACGGCCGCCAACGACGACCGTCGCCAAACAAACCGCCAAAATTCTACTCAAAGAACGCAAAACAGTCATTTCAAAAATGAAATCCCTCACCGCCGTCTGTCAAACAGGTGCCTCCATGCCGCCAATGAATCCGAACGGCCGCATTGCGCGCCATCCACCCGCACGCGGCGACGGCGAAAATGCCGAAATGAAAATGTACCTCTCCAAATTGAAGGATCTCGTCCCATTTATGCCGAAAAATCGCAAACTCTCCAAATTGGAAATCATACAGCATGTCATCGATTATATTTGCGATCTGCAGACCGAGCTGGAGGCACATCCCGAAATTGGCAACTTTGATGCGGCCAGCGCGCTAACAATGGCCGCCGCCGCCGACAATGAAGATGATTCCGCCAATGACTTAAGTGCCAACAACAGCGAAGAAAATGAACGGCTAGCCGAGCGACTGGCTAGTGGCGGTGGTGTCGTAGATAGCTATAGCGCGGCCGTAGCACAGCACTTACACCAGCAGAGTTCATCAGCAACATCATCTAGTCCTGCATTGCGACAGCCGTTAGCTGATCGTCAAGCGCCCAATACCATCCTGCCCGGCACAAATACGGCTGCTATAGCAGCTGCAGCAGCAGCACATACCACAATGGCGATGCATATGCAACAACAGCTGCAACTGCAACAGCAACAATGGGAACAACAGATGTTGCAACAACAGCAACAGCAACAGCAATCGCATCAGCAACAGCAGCAGCAACAGCAATCGTCATCCTCAACGCCGTCGCCACAGCAACAACAACAACAACAACAACAACAACAACAACAACAGCAATTGCCGTCAACCGGCGAAACGGTGAGTTGTTGATCAGGCGAAGTACTCGTAGTTTTAGCGGCAGATATGGCAGGCGAGTAATGTTAATTTTAAGTTTTTAGGCTATAGGTTGTATGTATGTATGTTAGGGTTCAAGAAACTGCATAAAAAAAAACATCCATACATATTAGTTAAAAAAAAAAAAGAAATGTGTGAGAAAATCTGTAATTTATTTATGTAGTTAAGCAGCTGTATCCTATAATTTAAGCAGAAACCTTAATGAATATAATGCATGTAAAAAATGAAATGCAAAAAGAAAAGCAAATATGAAAAATTTCATACATGTAAATTGTAAAAAAAATATTTTTGTTGTTAAAGACTGTTATAGATGTTTAAGTTGGTCGAATAAAATGAAAATGAATTGACTAAAATTTTGAAAAAAAACCAAAAGTTACACTCTTTCTTCTTTCAAAGAAAAAAAAAACGCTAAATTGAGCAAAGAGAAGTATGCAGTAAATGCAGAGGAAAATATTAGTAAAGCGCGCACACTCTGTGGTGTCGGAATTCGTATGGCGGAAATAAATCGAAGGCGAGTATGCAAATTTTCTTGGTTCTTTAACTATTGCGCAGAGTGTCAGTGGGGACTTGAAGCGAAATTAAAAAAAACCTTAAAAATTGAAAGGAAAAGCTTGTAGGCTCGTGCACATGCCTAAGGAAAATTTTCAAAGGAGAAATAGTTAACTTTGTTGACTGCAGTTGGTGAACATGTTTTTCTAGATAACTAATTGATGATTTAAAAGTTTTCAAACTTTAAAATTTTATAGTAAATATATATGTATGTATGTATTGAATAATAATACTGCATCAAGAATTCAAAAAAAATAACTTAAAATAAATTTCAAATGTAAAATTTTTTAAAATTTTATGCAATTTTTTTTTCACTTTTCAAATTTAGATTTTCTTTAGTCATTAAAATTAAATTGAAATTAAAAAAAAAAATCAAAAATGTATTAAAAAATTTTCAGTTAAATTTAATCTAAAATTAAAATTTTCAAACTTTTTTAGATTTTTGTTGAAACATTGATTATTTTTTTTTATTTGTTTCTGTTTTCACTTTTTTCATGATTATCACTTCTCAAATATTTTAAAATCCAGAAGCATCGACACTTATAGAAAACATATATTGGTTTACATACATACAGTAAAGAAAAAAATTTAACAAACTTGCGCTGATTTCATAAAATTTTTGTTTGCAAATTTTATTTGAATTTTTATTTTTTTTTTTTAGTTTTTCACTTCAAGCTTAGAATCTAGCTCTCAAGAAAAATCACAAGAAATACTTTATCATTATTTGTCTTGCTTGAGAAAGTATTTGGCCGTTGCTGTAAATCTTCTTGAAGATATAAAAATAAGAGCATTTTTTTGAGAGCTGCAAACGGATTTAAGAAATTTTGATAGAAGAAAATATCTTTTTCATTTCTTGAGTGTCATGTAATATGACTTTTGCGTTATTCTCAAGAGTTGTATACTAAGCTTAAATATGGAAAACATAAATTTTAATATTATTTTTATATTTTTTTTAATGTGTGATTTTAGTTTGATCAGTCAAACCATTCATTAATTTCATTATTTAATTCATGCATATTTAAATAGAGAGCCACATGTTTCACTTACAGCCAGTTTCACAAAATTTTTAATTTAAAATTTTTGCTTTAATCTAAATATTTATTTAACTTCCTCACATAAATTTGTTCAATAAAATTTGATTTTAACATCAAAAAAAAATATTTTTTTTATTTAAAATAATTTTTTAAGCTTTTTTTAAATTTTTAAATATTTTTGACACTCACAACATTTGATGTGAAAATAAAAAATTTAAAATAATTAATTCATATTTAAACGGGTTGTTGCAGACATTTAAATGAAAGGTGAACGAAAAAAATTAATTACTTGATTGTTGCAATGCAAAATTATTGTGGCGTATTTCTTGTTTTCGTACGTATCGAAAATCACAAAACTTTCATTTCTATACCAAAATTTCGAATTCTCGATTCGTACGAAAAAAAAGAATACGGCCAATTAAAGAATTCAAAATTGTCAACAAATTGAGTAAAGTTATGAAATGTTCCTTTAAGTTTCTATTAAAAAATTTTGAATACGGCCCATTAAAATATTAAAAAATTCTCAAGTCACTGCAGTCGGGTTGTTAAATTAAAGTTTTTGTTAGAATTTAAAACTTTTTATTTTTGTATCTTACAATTTTTGTTAGATTTTCCAATTGTGCAAAATTTGGCACTTCTTTTACTTTTTATTTTTTTAATAAATTTTTGCATCAATATTATACTTTGAACTGTTTTGAGCACGGAAAATTAAACTTGAAATTTTTTAAAATTTTAGAATTTCCTCAATTTTGAATTATTTTTAGTTTCATTAGCAGTCAATTATATTGTTTTTCTTCTAAGTTGTAAATTTTATTAAAGTAGTTCTTCAAGCTTTAAAAATAGTTCCTTTATAAAGGTTTAGTTATTTTTCATAAATTTAATAATTATGTACATATTTGCTATATAAGCGAACAAATTGTACAAATGAAATTCGCATAGCTTATAACAGAGTGAAATGCTAATTAATTAGTGAAGCTGATAAAGAGCGTAAAATTTTAATTTATTATTAATTTTACAGTTCAGAAAAGAATGCAAAGTATTCACATTTTAATTTTTATAGATTTTTTTTTGGTAGTTTAAATAGTTCTCTAGCGATTTTTTGGTTTTTTTGAACTTAAAATTTTATGAAAAAATATGAAGCACGCATATACACGAATCTCTTGAATGAAACATTTGCCAAAATGTGTTGAAATATGTACGCATTTAAAATTTTTTATTTTTTTTTTGTTTCTGATTTGAAAAAATTAAATTTTCTGCTGGTATTTAAACATTTTTAAACAGACAAAAAAGAGATTATGAAATTCTAAAATTAAATATGGGAAAAATTTTTCACAAAAAAATTAGGAGCAAAAGAAAATGGGAAGCATAGTTTCCAAAAAAAAAAATAGTAGTCAAACAAAATTTCGCAACAATTTTACTTTTTTTTTAAAGAAATTTTATATATATACATGTCTTTTTTATGAAAGTGTAAAAGTATTAAATCCCTTCAATTTTTCATGGAAAAGCAACACCCAAAAAGCAGAAACACATTTTACATAACTTCATTTTTGTTTAATTTTTCAAATGCAACACTTTTTTTTGTAGCACATAAAAAATAAGGTAACGCAAAAAAAAGCTCTTGCTTGCACGTGTAGCAACTGTTAGTAGACGCATATTATAAATCCGTTTGCACGAGTATGCACCAAATCTTACAAACTTTTCTTTTATAAAATTCACTCAAAAAAATAAAAACTAAAAATTTCATTTCTCAAATTCGCTACATGGAATCACTAAAATAGCACTAGTTTAAATTTGTATAACTATAGAATTTAACAATTAAAATAACACTTAATAACTAGTTTAGTATGTATGTAGAATTGATGTAAAATACATAAATATTGCTTTAATTTTGTGATACCGTAAAATCGTTTTGTAAATAAATTACTTTATGCGAAAATGTTCCAATTAAAATGATGACTTTGATTTGCTTAAATCCCACTGGAAATGAGTAAGGAATATAGATAGACGCTGAACTTTCTTCCGGTGGACCTACAAGCCAAACAGGTCGCAAGCGTTGCCGCAGTTCGTATGAATAGTCTAAATAACTGGTCAAACAGCAGTTATGGTTATGGTAGTATATTAACCGAGTTTGCGGATCTTCCCGGAATGGTGAACTACGCCCTACCGAACCCTGCTCCCATTACAGCGTTTACGACCTCCTACCCTCAAGGGAAGAGTGGAAACAAGACGCTCTAAGGAGTGACTAGTCCATCCATGTATACACAAATGGCTCAAAGCCCGTGGGAAGGGTTGATGGGGGTGTATACTCCGAAAACCTGGGAATCTCCCTTAGCTTTCGTCTTCCGGACCACTGTAGCGTTTTTCAGGCGGAACTGATGGTAATCGCCAATGCGAAAAAAACTGGTAAATTGTGATATATCCCAAGCTGATATATACATCTCCACTGACAGCCAGGCGGCAATCAATTCCCTTACAAAGCAGTCGAAAACCTCCATGGTCGTCATGAAATGCCGCACATCTCTTAAGATATGGCTGAGTCATTTCGCCCAAAATGTGATATGGATTCTGGGACACTAACTGGCACGACTTGGCATCAGACTCCCCATTGAAATAGGAATACCCTACCAAACTTGCAGGCTACTTATTTCCTAAAGTACTCTGCAGTACGGGGCAGCAACTACAGGACTGATGAATCGGTAGCTAACTGATAAACACCGTCAATTACCGACCGACTACTTGCAGTGTATTTCATCGATTACTTTTACAAGGCAATGTCCTAGGCGGTAGTCACCATCGGCTCTCTCTGCACTACCGGGCGTTACTAAAGTAGTCACTTGCGTGATTTATGGGCGCCCTCTGTCGTAGTTTTTCGCTATCCTGCTTCCGACTGGTTCGACTCTGCACTACCATGTGCAGTACCATGGGTGAATAGAGTAGCTACTTACCTAGGAGTCGGTGCAGTAGCGATTGACTCCAGCAGTACTGGAGGATAGCGAATGACAGATGGCATGAAGAAGAAATCACCTGCTAAACTGCCAGGCAACTATGGCCAGCGCTCCGCTCTAAACGCTCTGACCTACTACTGAGCATGCAGTACTCTTCTGAAGGAGAGAATATAGGAGTCGGCTTAGCGAGCGCTGAGCGAAAACCTCGACAAAATTGCTAAGTTCTCGACCGCATGCCGACAAAGAAGCTTCTGTAGCTGACTAAGCGCCAACTCTCGCATCTGACAGGAGTTCTGACCGCCCAGTGTCCATTACGATTCTATGCAGTAAGACTTAAAACTGTTTCGGAATCTTAATGCCGTAGCTGTCTAGAGGATAAACGAATGGAACTAGGTAAGCATTTCCTTCTCAGCTGCACTGATTTGACAAGAATAAGTTTTGACCATTTTCGTATGTGGAACTTTATCTTGAGTACCGAGCTTTTTTCGCTTCTCGTGGATTGTGGTAACACAATAGACAACATAAGAAATGCCTGATTGAGATCACTGCGGTGCAATCTTGTACGGTGGATTTATATTATACATTTAAAAAAAAAAACTGTTGTTTAGAAAAACTTTTTTTTTTGTATTTCCAGCGAAGCTCTTTCGCGTAAAAACCCAACAAATTGCGAAGGCGGAATCAGTTATTTAACAATAATAAAACACTGCTACGTGCTTTAGAATCTGCGTAATTTTTAAACAGGTAGAAATGGCTAAAAGACGTTCATGAGAAAAAAAAAAAAAAACAATATGTAAGAATAATTTTGTATTTACTCGTGACGCGTTGAGCAGACATCG